CCCAGGTAAGGGCGACAGCAGAGATCTGCAAGTTCTCCTGTTTTTGCTGAGAGTCTGGTTTCAGGTGCAGCTGAGCTAATACAATGGTGTGCTGCAGGTACAAGGATGAATTCCTGTTTCCTGTTGCCTTTGCTTTTCTGCTCCCTTCTCTCCACCACGTACACATTTTCAGGCACAGTGAACTATGTTCATTCAGCGTGCCTTGTGATACCCTGCCCTAAAAGGCCGCCACGGATGATGCCTTTTTGCAGTACAGCCATCACCTGCAGGCAAAGATTTGCAAAACTTGGGGGCTTGTGTTACCTGGGGCAGCAAGGCAGAGTACCGAACAGAGTGAGGCAGGCCCAGGGCAGGCTGTTTGGGTCTGCATGATCACCGAGCAACACATGGAAGCAGTAAAAAGCACCACCAGAGTTCAGACTGTCTGGAAACACAGAGATCTAAAACCAGGCTGACATCAGGTGCCGGTAAAATTAAGACAGAAGGTAGCTTCATTTCTGACAGCAGATGCTTGTGAGGCCCTAAGTATTTTAGTAATCTGGGTTAATTCAGCTGGAGGGAGTTTACTCCTGAACCAGTAATACAGAATTTTGAGAAGAATTTTTTACTTCATTTAAAAGTGAGGCACACAAGCAGCGTGTTTTTAAACACAGTCTAAAAAGATGATGACAACACTGAAGGCTGAAGAATGACCCTGAACTGGGCGGGGTGAGGGGTGGAAGTGGACGGGGTAAACAGATCAGCGATCATGTTGTGACTGGGTGAAATTTGGGTGTAGGCATATTGCCACTGGCCCCTGTTTTCTGTAATGCAACGGGATGACAGAAAATGGTATCACGATAATACAGCCCTTTCTAAAAAAGGCCACGGAGCCAGACTGCTAACCATATTTAGCACTAATAAATTACGATTGGCACCAGCAAGCCTTGGTTGTCACCTACTGACATTTTGTTCAGCCCTAAAGATGAAAACACAGTTGCCTGCACTGTCTCAAACAATGAGAGTCACTGGGGACTCGCAGATAGGGAAGAAGAAAGATAAGGCAAAGCAACAAGTTCATCATGACTTAGGATCTCAGAGCCAACACCGCCATAGCCAGAAGATGTTGCTCTGTGTTTCTGAGGTGGTAAAAAGTGGTTGCATACAGCAGCAGGGTCACAAGAGGTGTCTTTGCAGCCAGGTGGGGTGAGCACCCACCAGGGAGAAGCAGCGCCTGCCCCATCTGCACCCCTGAACCTCACTGACATGTAGTAGTACCCGAATGTCTGTACTCACCATGAGTATGAAATGCTCATCATGAAACTCACCATCAAACTCATCATGAAATGCTTTAATGGGTCCACGCTGATGGTAAAACACGACTGCTCTCTTTTGCTCCTTTGCTTCCTCAGGTTTGGCTAAGGAAGGGTGACAGTGGGAGCTGCACCCTTCAGGCTTCCTCCTGGTGGCTGGTGGGACCCTTTCAATGTGCAGCAAGGCAGCTGGAGCTGGGGAGCCTCCTGGGGGTCCCTGGGAGGTGGGCAGACAGGTCTGCCCGGCTGCTCAGCTCTGGGCCATTCCCGCTCTCTTTCTGCCCACCCCTGCCCAGACAGATTGGAAACCTGCCATCGCTGTCTGCACCAGCTGCTAGAGTTGGTGACGATGGCAGCCAGGGGCACGGCGACAATTCCAACAGCAGAGACCACAAACTGGTGTGGGCGCCAAGGGGAGTTAAGTTGTGAAGGGCAAATCTCCGTCAGAGAGCGGCAGGGAGCTGATACAGGGCTCTGGGAAGGGTTTTGATCTTTTCCTCTCATGCAGGGGGCATGGAGTATTACTGGTCCTGCCTCTCACATCTTCTCTGTGAAGTATCACTCCAGAAGTGACAGTGTTAACAAATACAGAGGAAGAGACTGCTCTGTAAGCTGAGCTACGTGGTCACATGCACGGGTTTTATTTTTAACATCCCAAAACTACTTGATGTTTCTGCCTGGGCTTGCTCCGTGTCCTCCCATTCTCTCCTCTTCCCTTGCTTGCAGTTCTCCTTTACCCACCTCACTTCAACCCAGCTGAGCACAACCAGGAGAGCAAGTGTTTGGTACACACACAGGGACTCTATGATTAAGGTAAGGCTTTGTAAATAAGAGTTTGAGGCTTTATTGGTCAAACCTTATGCAATGCAATGGTTACTGTATCAAGCTATGAAAATCAAGACGTCTTCAAAACAGCCTTAGTAATTAAGATGAAGTAGAATAATCAGACACAAGAGGTCTTAAATGACACCCTAAAACAGAGGCAGCTGGTAACTTTGAATGCTTCTGTGACATGCTACTCTCAAAAAAAAAAAAAACCTCCATAATATATTCAGTGGCTTAGCCGTAGTTTGCAGCACTGTATCTGGGGTTTTAAAAAACTAAGGTGCTGAGTCTAAGATGGGAGCTTCAGTAGCAGGACAGATGATAAACCAAAAATTCAATTTTTGTAATTTTCAAGAAACTCTGAGAGAAGTAAGACAAGACAGTAAGGATCAGAGGAGAGGCAAAAGCAATCTTCTGGCAAAAATGCTAAGACTTAATATCCTGTGAGTTTTGTAGATTCAAACTGCAAACTGTATGTTTGTAGGCCAAACTGAATATTAAGATGATGAAGTAAGAATCACAAGTGTTAGAGGTACTACTGTACCATTTAGAATTGTGGCTGCTTAGCAATTTTTATTCAGGAATCTTTTCTTTTTTGTTTCTATGACTTAGACGTTGACCAATAGCTCTGAAATTCTCTATGCGGGGCATCTGCCTTGGGCTGGGGTTTTTTTGTTTTGCTTAAAACCGTTCACTTGATTATCTCAAGAAGTTTTCAGAAAAGTATGTTAATGAGATTGTTACCAGGGCATAAAATAGAACCTGAGCCCAAAGAAAAAAAACAGTTTGGACCATTCTTTTTTTTTTTCTCAAACTGCAACTAAACGGGAACCTGTTATTTTAAAGCACTCGCTGAACTCAAACCAAAACCAAACCCATTTCCCAGCTGTGGATGCAAAGTGAGAGTTTGTCTGACCGTGTCTCTACCAAGGACAGCACAGGGACCCCTCACATGCACGAGGAGCAGCAGAGCAGCTCCATGCCACAGCCTCCCCCTTCTCCCTGTCCTGCCTGTCTCCCACACGACTCCCCAACATGCCCAGCACAAGACCCTGCTGCTGGGCTGCCCTCCACCATACCGCCAGCCCAGGGGACCACTTCAGCACCTGGAATTTTGGGGTGGGTTTGTTTCAGGTGAGCTACGGCTATGTTGCGCCAGGTAGGGAGGAGCAAGAAATATTGCTGATCCAGGTCTCACAGCGGGGAGTGCAGTGTGGTAACACCAGCAGTGCCCTGTGTTACCCATGCCTCACTGCTCTGAACTCTCCCCTACTCCTCCCATAACAGCACCAGCGCTTTTCACTGGACAGAAATTGCACCAGCAAGTTTCAGTGCCTCTTTACTGCGTGCATGCAGCACAGATTTACCAGGCGAGGGGGAGGCCTGACGGTGCGACAGCTTCTCTTGAGCTCCACAGTCCTGCATGCCAGGTTTAGGGAGCTGAAGAGAAGCTGATGTGCTGCTGTGGGAACCTGAGCAGCACTCATGCTCTGAAAGAAAAGCAAGGAACGTGCCTGACTGATGCACTGGAGTGTGGACCTACTCCGTCCCTGTCATTTTAAAGCATTTTTTTTTTTCACTATACAGCAATTCCAACCTGTTAAGTAACTCTGAACCAGTGGTTATTGCCATGAGACACCACAGGCTCAATGAGCTGATCCCCAGCTAGAAAATAGAGGGAGTAGCTCCCTAATTGTCACAGCCTCATCCTTCTATCTTTGGGCTTATCTAACATAACAGGTCAGTTGTCTCTCGGAAAACCTTTTCACTCTGCATGTCTTACACTGGGGATTTGAGGTTCACCAGAAGTATTGTCCTGGAATCAAAGTGCCCCTATAAAACCCGCGCGGGCTTGTTCAAGGTCTGAGCTTCAAAGAAACTATGTCTTGCACAAGCTTGGTAGAAATTTATTAGTGGTGTTGATGAAGATTTCATCTATACCTTTTATTCTTCCTTTCCACCTACCCTGGGCTGTACCATATTCACTGCCTGACTCATTTAAAGCTCGGCTGGCAACAAGTATATGCAAGATCAGTCTGAATGGCAATTGCAGAGCAGGTGTGCCACGAAGGACAGTGACCCGCTACGCCTAACGCCAAGGCAGTCGCTCAAGCTGTAGCTGTCCCTGCTGTGGGTGTCGAGATGTGGGGCTTGACTCACTTAGGGGTCACCGTGATTCCAGGTGGTGGCATTCTTGGGTTTGCTTTTTGTTTTGTATCGAAGGACAGGACTTTAGAAAAATTAGGCTCGCAGAATCATGTGCAAATGCAGTATGGTTTCCAATGGCATAGTGTTTTCTTCCTCAGCCTCAAGAAATAAATATATCTGTGCAGCAAAAGGAGACCCAAGCCTGATTTCTTGCTGTGGTTGTTCAGTACGTAGTGATTGAGGAAGAACACTGCACGAAAAGAGAAGAAAATCTCTAGTTTAAGGAGACTTAGATGCTCCCCTAGAAAGTGTGATTCTACAGCTGCCTCTGCCAGGGTTTTTGTGCAGGAGGCATGCAACTGCAAGCGAAACATCAGAACCTGAGCGTCTCCATGCTTGATGTGTATATATGTATATTTTTATTTATATAAAATATTATGTTTAGTTCTATTTCTTTTCCTCTTTCTACACTTTAATTCTACATCTGCCAAATAGAAGTAATAGTACCTTTTAACCTCAAGTGCACCTCTAGTACTGCAAAGATAAATTCATTATTGGTTGTGAGCCCCCTCAGATACTAAGATAGTAAATATATTGAAAAACCCTGTAAGGAAATTAATAAGTCTGTATTCACCTCAGGATTTAAGTATTATGATAAAAATGAGATAAACACCACGTACTGGGTAACAAGGGTTAAAAGAAATAGAGAATATCTCCTATCTGCCCTATACAACTCACCAAAAGTATTCCCATCCCTTGAAAATATTTTTCTGTTGTAACATTATATATAACTTTAATATTCTTGGCTCCAGCATTTGGATGCAAACTTTCATGAGATTTTTTTAAGAGCTCCTTATCACATTGTAAATCTTAGAAAGATTGATTTATGTTCATTTGCAATCTCATCTCAGAGGCACTTTTTAAGGTAATTATCTGGGGTTTCTGGTGGCCCTTTTTGATGGGTCTTTAAAATGGGAGGCATCCCTTGATTCCGTGAGAAGAGCTCAGATATGATGTATAACCTTAGTATGTCATATGATCAGTCACATATAGCAAATACCAAATAAGAAAACGGTTGTGTTGTTTTGGGTCATTGACTGCAACTGAATTAAATACATATTTACTGAAAATAAATTGTAATTGGTTTATAAACTGCAAGTTATTGTCACTGAACAGATCTGCTCCAGACGCAGACATATCTGCAGTTAAAATAGAAGCTGTATATTTTTAAACCTTACTTGATTTGCTGTCATGACGGTCTAAAAATAAAGATTTACCAAAGTGGACAGTCTGCAGACTGTAATTTGTATCCTTTCTTTCCACAGTAGCTTTAACGTGATTCATGTGAGCATTTCTGTTTTGATTTTTTTTCTAACCCTGCTCTTAGGAAATTTTGCAAGTTGCAGGGAAACAAGAAGTGTACAGGTTTAGAGAAATGTTTCATCACCTGACATATCTGTGTGTCACCTGCCTCTGGATGTTATGTATCAAACTTACTGAGGCAAGAATTTGTAAACTTTCTGCCCAGGGTTTTGAAAGTTGTAGTTTGTGTGCTGACAATAATACCATCAACTAAACCACAGAGCTAACTAGATCATCAGTTAAAATACAGAGCTCTTGATTATCAGCATGTCAGAATAGAAGCAGCATTCAAACGCTGATAAATATCAGAAAAGTTTTCTCTCCCTTCTTCCTGTCCTCCAGCTACACAGATTCGACAGTGAGAAGAGAGGTACAGAAGTAATTTGACTGACAGAACAGCATATACAAGTTAGAGATGAGGTAAACTCAACTAAAAATGGCAGATCTGAATAATGATGAAGACTTATTCTGGATCTGAATGCTCTGATACGGTCACTTTTGATAAACAAAGCACATGTTTTCTTTCTCTACACGTGATTCAGATGGGGTTCGTTTCAGCATACCACAGTGTGAAAGCAGGCTCCTCTCCAGAAACTTTGCAATCAGGCCTTTCTGTGTTTTTGGAGAACCGTAAGGCCCGTGCCTCAGATGTATTTTTATTTATCAATTATTTCTCTCCGAGAGTTGGTTTTGCAGTGGAAAGTATTGTTCACGCATTCATGTTTTTATTGCGGTGTAATGTACCCAGCCTTCCTCTGACCTTATGCAAGTCATAGCTGGGACTATTTTTAGAGATTATATTTGCAGCAAAATGCTACAAGAATGAGAGCAGCAAGGATGCTGCCAATGTGAAATAAATCCATCTGTATCTCCTGCTTCTCTGAGCCGCATAAAAGTAGATGTAACTAAACAGCCTAAAGCAGGACAGATGCCACCCTAAACTACAGGTATTTAACGGCTGGGTGTGGCGGGGGCCACCCTGGCCAGCACCCTGGTGTCACCTCCCTGCAGCAGCCAGTGCTTCCCAAGACAAGGCAGGGAATGTTATAATGGATCGTCACAAAATACTATTTTTCTGCATTGCTGTCTCGAGCTCTTTCTATGCAAACAAAGGTAAAGGTACTTGAGCCTTATACCTCTTAGAGTGTAAGTTTGTCCCTAGGCAAAGGGACCACAGAGGACTTGTAAAGAGTAAAGACTGCAGGACCGAGGAGGAATGGGATTCACTAAGAGACGTAAACAGGTATTGGTCAGTGTTGGAAGTTGCAATGGATGGAACGAAGATGTGTTGAGCAATTAATGCACATCTAATTCAAACACGAGTGTGTGGTCTTTGGTGACTGCAGGAACCCACATGCGTTGCCTTTCCCAGACATCTTTCCTTCTCCTGCGTTGTTCATGACTTCCATTGCCTAGATGTGAAAGACGAGAAGTTAAAACAGTGCCTTCAAGAAAGGGAGGGGAAGCAGCTTCACACAGCACCTCTTCCCCTTGAGCCTGAGCCTACTTCCTCTGCAGCACAGCTCTCCTCAGGGCTAGGTCACTTAAGCCTGGGGTTGCAAGAACGCTCACATCTAGGTAAATGACACTACTGTATTTTCTTTAACCTTAGAAAAAAACCAAAGTCTAAATTATTTTACTAATAATGTGTATTTTTTCCAAGAGCCAAATGAGAGTCTGCTGGACCTATGGTAGTTCCTCCTGCATGGAAAGTGTGGTGGGAAGACTTGTCAAAAATCTTTTTCTCATTTTCACAAAAAAAAAAAAGCGCCCTGGGTCCTGTTTGGAAACAGAACTGCCGTTCCTCCTTATCATTAGCTTTTTCCCTTCCACAAAGATTCACAGTAGGCTGAACCAAGCCGGAATGCAGCCTCTACAGCAAGGAGCAGAAAGTCAAAAGTCTGGGCTTTTCTACTTGCAGCAGCTCTTCTTTGGGCCAAGTTCCTGATACCGGTTGCAGGCATCCAGGGAAGTAGCTCCAAGCAGTGACTGAGCAGCCTCTAGTTCTCTAGTCCAACAGCTGTGTGTGAGGGGAAAGGACCACAGGAGGCCCTACGTGTTCCCCCTAAACGGCATGTCTTACGGACATTGTTGAAGAAGGCTGCTGGGCTGGGTGGACCACTGGTCTGACCCAGAATGTCATTTCTTACGTTCTTAGATTGTTTACAACAGAAGGCATGCCTCATGCTAATCACCATCTCCATTTACTTGCTGTTGGACTCTGTGCTTCTGTTTTCCCATGTTTAGGGAGAAGTAACAGCTATTGCCGGGAATTATTGCAAGGGAAGAGATATTATGAGCAAGGGCAACTAAGAACTTTTGGAAGCAGGCCTCATAAGTGCATTAATTTTACTAACTAAACTGATTTAATTGACTTACTGGGAAAGAACAAAAAGCACAGTAACGAAAGCAAAGCAGATCAGTGGTTCATTCTGACAGAAAGCTAGTAATCTGGTAGTGATAACTTTTTATGTGAGGATCTTCATACATCATGTTCTTGTACTTCTGCTTTTTGTTGTTGGACCTCAGGAAAATTGTATGTCCTTTTTATATCAAAGGTTTTTAAGGGGAAGAGAGGAAAAATTTATATATAATTTTTGAAACCATGTTAATGTGGAAATGTGACAACTGAAATGCAGTCTTCCTTAAAACATTTAGCCTGTTTATATAATAAAGCTGGTTGAAATTTCTGAAACGTTTGTTTTGGCATCCTCAACTTGTTCTTTTAATCCAGTCTGTTTGTTGCAAAATGTTAAATTCATGGAGCTGCCTGGTGGCATCTGAATTTATGAAACGGAGACTGGTATTGTTTATTACTTGCTGCCTGGGACCTTTTTCCCTATTTTTTGGCCCCTTTGTGGTGTCACTAACACCTTCATAAACTGAACCTAAAATATGATCAACTCAGGATCACCTATTCAGTTCCGGGTAGCATTTGACACAGACTAGTATGTAGGATGAACTGAAAAAGTAGAGCGGTGGTGACCGGTTTTTGTAGGATCATGCTCTAAAATAGATCCCAAAGGAACAAAAATGGATTCTTTCTCAAAGAGGCACCCTATAAAAGGCATGCTTGGAGCTGACCTCTCCCCTGCTCCATCACAGGAAGGGAGAAGCTCTGCTGAGGTTAGACCTTTGTCGCTCCCCTTCTGCCCTAACTGCACACCGTGGTGCTGAGCTAAGGATGAGATAAACCATACCTGCCCTCTTCTCCTCTTGCCTCTCTTCTCGG